CCTGAAGAGATGGGTTTTCAGGGTGCGCCTAAAGGAGAGGAGAGTAGGTGATAATCTGATGGGTTGGGGCAGGGAGTTCCAGAGGATGGGTGACACCCTGGAGAAGTCCTGGAGGCGGGCATGGGAGGAGACCAGGGAACTAGAGAGAAGGAGGTCTTGTGAGGAGCGGAGTGTGCGTGCTGGGCGGTACTTGGATATTAGGTCAGTGATGTAGTTCGGGGGCAGTATGGTGGACGGCTTTGTACGTCAGTGTTAGGATTTTGAATTTGATCCGTTGCGCAATTGGAAGCCAGTGGAGGGATTGGCAGAGGGGGGTGGCGGAAATGGAGCAGTTGGAAAGGTGAATGAGTCTGGCAGCCGTATTCAGGATCGATTGAAGCGGGGATAGCCAGCGGCGAGGCAGGCCAGTGAGGAGGGAGTTGCAGTAGTCGAGTCGCGATATGATGAGGGAGTGGGTGAGCTGTTTAGCATTTTCTGGGGTTAGTAATGTGCGTATTTTGGCGATGTTGCGGAGGTGGAGTCTGCACGAGTTTGTTAAAGATTGGACTTGGGGCTGGAAGGATAGGATAGAGTCCAGAATGACACCAAGTACTCTGGCCTGCGGGGCGGGTTTGATGGTGGCGTTGTTGGATGTGATGGAGAAGTCAATGGGGGGTGGTGTCCGGGCTGGGGGGGGGGGGGGGGGGGAAGACAAGAAACTCGGTTTTGGAGAGGTTCAGTTTAAGGAAGTGGAGCAACATCCAGTCTGATATGTCGCTCAATAGGTGTGTGATTCGGGCAGAGACTGAGGGGGTGAGGTGGGGGGTTGAGAAATAGATTTGTGTGTCGTCGGTATAGAGGTGGTAGTTGAAGCCGTGAGAGTGTATGAGTTGGCCAAGGGAGGAGGTGTAGATGGAGAAGAGAAGGGGCCCAAGGACAGAGCCTTGAGGGACCCCAACAGAGAGGGGGAGGTGGCAGCATTATAGGTAACGCTGAAGGAGCGTTGTGACAGGTAGGATGAGAGCCACATTTCATATTCCTTATTAATGTTAGCCTCATAAATATCTAATATCCTGGTTATTTTGATTACCATAGTTGACTACAGTAATACGTCGGTTTACAAATGCCTCGGTTAACGTAATTTTCGGTTTATGAATGGAAATGCATTGAAAATGCCTTGGTTTATGAATTTTTTTTCACAATACGAAGTGTATGTCAGTGCTTATTTTTAAATGCAATTGCTGGCTTTTTTTTTTTTTCTTCACTATAGCTCACAGAATTAGTTGTCACTTTCCCCAGAGTTAAGGGAAACTTTGTTTCTTTTAAGAAACTAAAAGGAAACATTGTTTCTCTTAACTCAGAGAAATAAACTAAAAAAAAACCTCTCTTTCTTTTAGCTGGGGGGGAAAGTGACAGGTGAATTTCTGAGCTGTAGTGAAGAAAAAAAAAAAAAAGTTGTAATTACATTTAAAAACCGGCACCATAAATAAATAAATTAAAAAAAAAAAAAAAAAAAACAAAAACAAAACAAAAAAAAAAAAACGGTATGCGGTCTCTCCTCCCATCCATACCAAGCCCTTCGGGTCTGGTATGGATTTTTGAGGGGAACTCCCACGCCAAAATTAAAAAGAAAAATGGTGTGGAGGTCCCCCCCAAAATCCATACCAGACCCTTATCCGAGCACGCAGCCCGGCAGGTCAGGAAAGCAAGCGGGGGGGATAGCGAGTGCGCCCCCCCCGAACCATACTAGGCCCTCAACATGGGTGGGTGCGTTAGGGCAGGGGGGCTCCCCCCAAAGCAACTTGAGGGGCCCATGGGGACAAGGGCCTCTTCCCCACATCCCTGGCCGGTGGTTGTGGGGGTCTGTGACAGGGGGCTTATTGGAATCTGGAAGCCCCCTTTAACAACGGGACCCCCAGATCCTGACACCCCATGTGCAGGTCTTTGACAAGCCCTTTATTAAAAGAACTAAAAGAATGTCCCCCGCAGTAGATGCAATGTCAATCACAATGCTTGCCGTCACCACCGCTGCCGACCCCAAAAAAATAAAAAAAAAATTAAAAAAAAGGCTCCGCTTATTGTTTCCAGCCTTCTGCCTACTCAGGTGGTTTGACAGTTCTTAAATTTGTAAGGGGCAGGGCCACCTGGGGACATCACCCAAGTGACTCTGCTCCATGGGGTGTGGCCCCATGTGTGATGTCCCTGGGTGGCTCCATGCATCATGTCCAGTCTATTTACACACTACACCTTTTTTTTTATGAATGAATAGGGGTACCATGTACCTCATACTCATTCACATGGGGGGGCGGGATCTGGGGGCCCCCTGTTAAAGGGGGCTTCCAGATTCCAATAAGCCCTCTGCCCGCAGACCCCCATGACCACTGGCCAGGGTTGTGGGGAAGAGGCCCTTGTCCCCATCATCAACATGGGGACAAGCTGCTTTTGGGGGGGGGGGGGGGGGGGCATGTGGCCTGGTATGGTTCAGGAGGTGGGAGCACTCGCTCAAGAGGGGGGTGTTCAGATAAGGGTCTGGTATGGATTTCGGGGGGGGGACCCCCCCACACCATTTTTTTTTAATTTTGGCGTGGGAGTTCCCCTCAAAATCCATACTAGACTTGAAGGGCTTGGTATGGATGGGAGGGGAGATCGCATGCCATTTAATTGCCGGTAATTCTTTTACATTTAGCGGTCAGTGGGGAACCCCGCTGACAGCTGAAACATTAACACATGGTTTTTACTACTAAAATACCGCATGACTTGATAAAATAACTCATGAGGTATTTTAGTAGCGTTTACTTTTTTCTGATCTCCGGAACAGATTAATTGGTTTTCAATGCATTCCTATGGGAAATGGTGTTTTGGTTTACAAATTTTTCGCTATACAAAAAGTCCTGCAGAACTAATTAAATTCTTAAACTGAGGTATTACTGTATAGGATTTTCATTGTAAGCTGACTATATTGACAAGCCAGCTCACTAATCTTTCAGGGATGTGTGATTGCAAACTGACCAAGTCCTTAAAAGGTCATATTGCTTGCAATGGGAGTTGACCATTTCCTTACATTCAAGTCCTATATTACAACAGCCATAACTTGTAAGTCTCAGTCTCGTGTCAGAGCTGTGTTATGCATGCGTCTGTGGTCACCTGTGTCACGCCATCATGGGGGGGGGGGGGGGGGGGAAACTCTATGGTGAAACAACATCTTTAGTTAAGTATTTTTTTGTTATATATTTTTTTAATCTGTCATTACTTTTAATAAATGTTACACATAAGCATTTGTGTGATCTCTGCTTGCGCATATCAAATAAAACCCCCAAAACATAAAATATCATGTATACCGTGACGGAGCACATGTACCTTAGGGTGCATGCAACAAAGAAGGCTAGCCAAAACATGCATTGGAGTACAGGTTATTTAGTCATTTCAATTCCTAAATTCACCACTGTATGTTTCAATCGCTTTGTTAAAACATTTTACAGATTTTTGCACATTGAGACTAGCACCCTACAATTATTATACAAATGTAGCCCGACAACTGTAGTACAGTCCTCGAACCGTAAAAAAAAAAATACTTCCTTTTTTTTTTTTCTTCAAATTTCACTTTTTTCTTTTCAAAAAAATTATTCTATCCCCATTTTCAAAAACGGTTTCCGCCATATTTAAACATTGCTGGACTAAGATCAGAGATTTTTTGAATACTTGGGAAGACATATGACAGCATTCTTCACAAAACCAGAGAAGCAAGAAGTTGTTTGCATCTTCCTCAAATACTATCCATTGCAAGTAGACTTAAAGATTAAGTTCACCTTTCGTAACATGTTACACCCATATTCAGGGTGTAACATGAAACATGTTACTGTAGGACAGGGCTCTGCTCCCCCCAATTCCCTGTTTTGACAGCTAGCAGGGGATCTTCTCCCACAGCTGTCACAGTTGTTAAAAAAAACAAAACGCGGCCATGTGTGGCTCCGTCCGCCCAGCCACGTCATTCATTTAGAGTTTTGTGAATGGGAGACTACAAGTCCCGATAACCTTTGCGGATGTCAACTTGTAATTCTCAATGAACTACCACGATGCTGTTGAGTGCTGTGGTAGTTCATTGATTCTTCCGGTCGGTGTAAAACTGCCTGCTTGTACGAGCAGACAGATTACACTGACAATCTGCAGGAGACCCGCATGGTACCAGCTATCTGTATTAAAAGGTGAACTTATCCATTAAAGGTCAATTTAAAGGCTTTGGTGGTTGCAGGTTTTGTGTTTTCAGGTACTGAAGTTTGCCAGCAGCATGAACATAAATTCTTGGTTTTAATAGGCATTATTTTAAATATATTTTCTAGCTAACAGTTCTCTGTAAGTAGAGGTGCAATAAAATAATCCAGTAAGCATCCAATGTGTCAAAGTCTAAAGATGAACTCTATGAAAACAGGTTAATACATAGTGTAACCACATATATAGAAGCTGTCTTACCTGTCAAAAGTTTGTTTTTTTTTTTGTTTTTTTTTTTTATCGGTCTGGTCATAAGATCTACACAGTCCTCAGTCCTACCACACAGCATGCCCAGCCTGGTGACCTGACTTTATTCACCTTGAACATAAACATGCATTTTTTCATACACTGATGCACAGTGTGCTACGGCAGCCTATTCATTCTGAATGAGCCCTTGACAAGCCGAACAAATGAATTAACCTGCATTACGTTTGGGCAATGTAGATTTCCAATAAACAAAGTACTATCATCTGAATGTTGTGTGTTGAAAGTAGTCTGTCTGCTGCAACATGTGCCCAGTTTTTAACTACACCTGTCTTCAATAATTTATGCTCTTAAGTCTGTAGTGTCTGACATTTTTACATATAATGAATTCTACATGCTTCCCCCTGGTCATTTCAAGGCCAATATACCTTGTAAATTGACAGCTACTGATGCAGATTATAGTCTGTGTTGGCAGGCATTATGTCAGTTTAAAGTATTTAATGCTTGAAGTAGACTAGTATATATATATATAGATCTCTCAGTTATCTTACCTGTACAGTATTCCATTCCACCAGGATGTGGTACAACAATCCTTCTATATACTATTGGGTCAGACTCGATTATGTTCTCATCATGTCTGTAATTTGGGGGTCTTTCACTAGGTGTGCCTCGTGACCTAGCTCCTCCTCCACCCCCTCGCCTTTCGCGAGTGTCTATCTCCTCAAATACAGCTGCCTTATCAAAAAGAGCAAGGTTCCCTTCAAAATCAAAATCTGTGTCTGGAATCTCATCCAAATCATCGCCAAAACACTCATCATCTCTAGCTTTATGCTGCCCATTCTTAGGTCCGTTCTTCTTGGGGGTCACTTGGTTTGGATACCGGCTGCTTGAAGACCCTGCACATAGGAAATAGGTAGCACAGAATTACACATTCTACAAAATGTCATTAATGAGGACAGGCAAAATTTACTACGATCAGTCAAAAGACATTTTACTGGATAGCTACTATACCAAATCAATAGAGAGAATGATTGTACACCCCTTGAGGGTTAGGGACTGATGTGAATGTACAATATATATGTAAAGCGCTGCGTAAATTGACGGCGCTATATAAGTACCTGAAATAAATAAATTGATTGGGGGTTGTAGTGTTTGAGGAAAGCATTAAAAAAAGAAAAACCCTTATAAAAAGAGTTTCCGTGAGAGCCTGCAATTAGCACTGGATGTCCTTGAGACAAAAAGTTTATTTACATGACTTGAAAGTACGTCTGCTTACACATTGTGCTTAATTCTCTATTCTCTTTACACACAGATCTCTTAAAGCAAATCACAACACCAAGCAGAGTCTAGCCAGTGTCCTTAGGGGACCCTGTGGTAAGTAAGGTCATACACTGACTCACATTGTGTGCTCTGGAATCACAGAAAGTCAAAGCAAACATTTATTAAGGCATTTCCAATGTACCCTGCTGCTGGGATGCAATAATTTGCTGTACTATGAACACAAGTACCCACAAAGGGTTTTTAGACTGTAAATTCATCAACAAATGAATTTACTGGGAGGCTGATGACAGATACTGTGCAGCTGTACTGTTAGGCATTGTTCATCATTTGTCAAGAGTCTGAAGTTTCAAAGTGTGGGCAAGGCAGCAATGAAATCAAACAGAAGGTACGACAATACTCTGTACCTAGAGAAATATGGACCATGCTACTGCGGACGTCTCCTCCTCAAAATACAAGGCTTCCTGGTTGTCATGTTTATCCGATTACTTCATCCACTGGCCTGGAACAAGTAAGGAGATCATCAATTCTATCTTCCTTCTTCCTTATATACTTGTTCCAAGTCAGTGACCTGTGAAGTACTGAAACCAAGCAACTAGCATTTTCAGAAGATGGTCAGCAATAGCAGCCTATACATTTCTCCTAAGAGGGGTTACCATTGAAAGATATGTATTAGTTATTCTGTAGGGCAAACCTATATTCAAAAAAAGCAGGCCCCATGCCAAGAGAATTATGTAGGTTGCCAATGCCGACTCTTCTTTTGAGAACATTTGTTCTCTGGCTGTCATGCTACTGCTTTGGCTTTGAACTGCTGACTCAGAAGTATAGATAAGTAATTCTGACACATTTCTGGCACCATTTACAGCATGCTTAATTCAGAGAATTCAAGTGTCTTGAATCCAGAAAGGGCCAGGTAATGAATATCTTTAGAATCAAGAAAACAAAACAATGGCAGCATCTATATTTTCTTATGACAGGTATCAATTTGCAAATGGCAGCCCAATTTAAATCTGTTCTTTTGATTGATGATCACTTATGACCATTTCATCACCAACAACCATAAACCTGGATTCCAACAATTTAAGTGATCTCTCATAATTTTAATTATGCACTACTTATGCCATAACAATGCCAATAGTCCTGTAAACTAAAGACCACTCACAGACTATAAAATATACACTCACCAGCCACTTTATTATGTACACCTATTCTTTTGCTTGTTAACACAAATTGCTAATCAGTCAATCACATGGCAGCAACTCAATGCATTTAGGTATGTAGACGTGGTGAAGACGACTTGCTGAAGTTCAAACCGAGTATCAGAATGGAGAAGAAAGGGGATTTAAGTGACTTTGATTGCGGCATGGTTGTTGGTGCCAGACAGGCTGGTCTGATTATTTCAAAAACTGCTGGTCTACTGCGATTTCCATGCACAACCATCTCTAGAGAAATCGAGACTCATCAGACCCAGCAACATTTTTCCATCTTCTATTATCCAACTTTGGTGAGCCTGTGTGAATTGTAGCCTTGGTTTCCGGTTCTTAGCTGACAGGAGTGGCACCCAGTGTGGTCTTCTGCTGTTGTAGCCCATCTGCTTCAAGGTTCAAGGTGTTGTGCATTCAGAGATGGTATTCTGCATGCTTTGGTTGTAATAAGTGGTTATTTGAGTTACTGTTGCCTTTCTATCATCTCTAACAAGTCTGCCCATTCTCCACTGACATCAACAAAGCATTTTCGTCCCCACAACTGCCACTCACTGGATATTTTCTCTTTTTCAGACCATTCTCTGTAAACTGTACAGATGGTTGTGTGAGAAAATCCCAGCAGATCAGCAGTTTAAATACTGAGACTAGCCCATCTGGCACCAACAACCATGCCACATTCAAAGTCACTTAAATCCCCTTTCTTCCCCATTCTGATGCTTGGTTTGAACTTCCGTAAGTCGCCTTCACCACATCTACATGCCTAAATGCACTGCGTTGATGCTATGTGATTGGCCGATTAGCAATTTGTGTTGACAAGCAATTGAACAGGTGTAGCTCAAAGTGGCCGGTGTGTGTATATATCCAGCCTGTAAAGAGTACTGCTCCCGTTTTTAAACAGAAACATACATTTATGTTTCTGCCTGATGTATTTTCAAAATCAAGGGAAATGCAAAAAAAAAAAAAAAAAAAAAAAAGAATAATCAGCATGCATTTTAATTCTCACTAAAACACGTTTACAGCCTAAACGATTCTATATTCCTATTAATGTGATCTCCATGAAAGTGGCTGGCAAGTGAGAGTACAATGTTTTCAGTGCAGTTTTATAAACTAGTTAAGACTTCTGCCTTGCAGCAACAGGGTTACCAGTCTAAATCCAAACCAGAACACTACTTGTTTAGAGTTTGTATGTTCTGTCTGTGCTTGTGTGGGTATCCTCCAAGTACTCAGTTTCCTCCTACACTACAAAGACATGCTGGTAGGATAACTGGCTCCTGTATAAATTGGCCACAGTATGTGTATGTATGCATGCATGCGAGCTAGTGACCTTCAATTGTAAGCTCCTTGAGGGCAGAGACTCATGTAAATGTTTAATATATACGGTTTGTAAAGCACTACATAAATTGTTGGTGCTATATACTGTAAATACCCACTAATGCATCAAATAGCAAGAATTACCTTATTTAAAGTGGTTGTAAAGGCTGAAGGTTTTTTACCTTCATGCATTCTATGCATAAAAAGGTAAAAAAACCTTGCGTGTGCAACGGGGCGTACCTGATCTCGATCCAGCACTGTGCACAAGAGCAGCGGCTTTCCCAGGTCTCTCCCTCCTCATTGGCTGAGACACAGCAGTGGGAGTCATAAGCTCTTGCTGCTGTCAATCACAGCCTTTGAGGAGGGAGCGAGGGGCGGGGCTGAGCCACAATCTGTGTGTATTATGGACACACAGAGACAGTTTGGGAGCGAACACACGAGCGCCCCCAAAGCAAGCATTTTGCTCTGGGGGCACTTAGCAGCGCTGGCAGGGGACCCCAGAAGAGGAGATCGATCGGATAAGTACGCCATTTGTTTTTTTTTTTTTTTTTTTTTAAAAAGCTGAACTTTTGGAATCATGTCTTTAGGCATGTAGGCATTTTTTACTGATCTAAATGCAGCCTATTGTTTTTAATGAGCTCTGTACAGTAGGTGTGTAAACGTCTGCTGCATATAGATCAGTAATAGTAAAAAAAAAAAAAAAAAAAAAAAAAAAAATCAGCATTCCTGGACAGTATTTATGAACATACACCACAACCCAAGAAAAGCTAGAATTTTTACACATACAAGTAAACACATGCAAATACATGCACTTTAATATACAGTCCATGCTCACATTTTTACGCTGGAGTTTTCTGCCAGGAGTCTGACATTCATACATCAGTACCATGTGCAAGTACTGTAACTGATAAGATGACTTCAGTACATAGCAATATTTACATCTTTTTGCTTAATGCAGCATGAAAAGCACACATCAGTTCCACTTTATTTCTAAAACATATATTCTGCTTAAACTTTCTTTGTTAAGAATGTGCTTTACTACTTGGCACACACAAGTGGAGAGCTAGAACTGCAAGCATCACAAAAAAAATATATATATTTGAACCCACATTTCATTTTTTTTTTCACACCCCACAGAGCTTTTCTTTCAGCTTGTACATGACAGAAAGTCATCTATCTCATGTGCACAGAGAAGGCAAAGCGCTGTCCAACTTCTGAGTGACAGTGTACATGTCCTAGGATTACAACTTGTTCTCATCTCGTGCTGAGGGAGGAACTCTCACCTCCTGGGGGATGAACTGATGTACTATACCTCCGTGACAGTGTGTCTGAGTTGGAAAGCAGAGCACGCATTGCGACATGAACTCTGTCAACCCCTGCCTAGGCAATGTTAATCTAATTGTGTATGTGGAGAGCTTATTATGCATCATTCTCTTTCAGACAAAAATAGGACTTCAATGAATCCCCTAAGAAACACAGTGAAAGACATATCCCCTGACACACACACTTCTGTAGAACAGGTGCGTGCAAGCAGTTTGTTCATCAGTTGTGGGAAAACATCTCACAGTCTCCGATATCCTGCAAATCATTTATCTGGCAAGCTGTATGGCTTTGAAAACTGACAGCAGCACAAATCCAGATATTAATTAAAAGTAACCTTTCACATGTATTGTGCAGAAAAACCAAAAGCAAGTAGAAGAAGCAGCTTGTAAATAAAATATTTTTTATCCTAAATTGTAAGCTCCAAGGAGCAGGGCCTTCCTAACCCTCTTGTATTGAACTGTGTTGTTGCTGTACTGTCTCCCTTATATTGTAAAGTGCTGAGCAAACTGTTGGCTCTATATAAATCCTGTATATTAATAATCATATTTCTGAACTGTTCCTGTTGTCCCATGTACTTGTATGTAAAAAAAAATTCTACACAGCTTGCTCTCCTCCAATAATCAAACATCCACCTGCACAGCCATTCACTGAGAAGTTCAGTCTGCTGATGTTTGTCCTCCCTCAGCTCTCTGTTCTCAGCTGCATAAAGAGCTTATAGGGTATGTGATCACTTCTAAAAACATTATAAAATTACTTTCCCCCCCCCCCTCTATTTTATA